CGGAAGCGTTCCGTCCGAGTGCAAAACTCCCTTGATTCATTGAAATATTAGCACACCTGAGTCCTTTTTTATTTGATGACACAAAAAAGAGAGAGACACAACCCAGGAGTGGAATTTCAACAGCAAGAACAGACAGGAATATCTCCAGGTAACAACTCAGCAAACAAAGCATAGGCATACACTGGTGAAAATAATAGGCAGAAATAACAAGCTGGGAAGTGTTGGGTCCCATTTGGAAATATACAGAATCTTGCAAAAGTATGTTTGGCACATTTTGTCTCATTACCATCAAAAACTTCAAACAACAATGGAGCTAAATAAAGGGCAATCTTGACAGAAACCCTGTTAGAGGCTGCATGAGACTGAAGACAGGATAGGAGGTTCGTCTTCCAGCAGGACAACAACTTTGAGCCAGAAACACAGTGGAGTTGTTTGGATTGAAGCATATTCATGAATATGAAGAATGAGCAAAGAGTTCAGATTCAAGATGTGCAAACCTGATAAGGGACTTCATCTCAAAAGATATCTTTTGCTTGTAACGTGACAAAATATGAAAGGTTCCACGATATGAATACTTTTGCGAGGCAAAAGTGCAGCCAAAAGATGGAAAACTGATTATTTTTTTAATCTTTTTGTTTTGCTTTGTTTTGTTTCATGAACCTGGGAAGAATCAATTTGTTTCCATTCGCAAAAATCTCAAATATTTTGCTCAATGCACTATGTGTGGTCCTCCATGAGCTCATCTACAGAGTGACAACACTACGCAGCACATAAACCTCTGACATTAAACTGCTCTGCAATACCTCAAACGGTTTAGTTTCTAAAAAAAAAAAAAAAAGGAAACATCTCGGCCTTAGACAAGAACTCGGGGCGGCTGGAAAGTCAGCAGTGAATAATGCTAATAGAAGGCAGATCTGCTGCAGTAACGTACTGCCAGACAAGCAAGCATATCGGTGGATCATGTTTTTAAGCCTGCAGGCCCCCTTTTCGGGAGGTCTGAGAAGTGGCAGGTCACTATATAGTCTAAGCCCTTTTAAGAAGGAGCATACCACAACCTAGTGCAGCTCTACAGATCCACCGAGGGAGCAGCTTTAAAAACACTTCAGGGAGACAGAATCATAAAACAACTGAACAGCCTTCTTTACGTGGCTAAAAATTCATGAAAGTTCCTCAGAAATCCTTTGACAAATATTATGCTATACAGACAAGCAACAGATTTTCTAAGAATTTAAATCATTTAAAAAAAAACTTGTTTTGTCTTATGAGAAGTCATGGGCTGAGCTTTGGCTGCTTTTGTTTGGACTGATTCATTTTAACATACTTGTTCGTGGTTAGTTGGTTAAGAGTGGTGGAGGCTGTGCGCATTTTCTCAGGCCGACTAACACAACAGTATCATTATGTGCCAAGTGGGACGGAACATTCCTTGAACCTTCAGGGTTTTACTCTCCCACAACCAGCCAGTGGGGGTGGTGGTGGGTTAACCCGTATGCAGGCATGCATATGAAACAAATAAGGAGACTGAATCCAATATCTGGTCATCTAGGCGCATGTAGCATTAGGGAGGATGTGAGAGATCAGCGCAAATGTCTGCAGCCCTCATCCAAGCCTCTCAATAAATGAAACATCAACAAAAAGAGAGAGCAGCAGCTTTCCTGCACTCAACAAAAACATCTGACGTGTATTATTCCTGAGAGAGAAACTGACTGAGGATGAACTGCACGGCTTTTTTTAATAGAGCAAGTTTCTCTTGTGCTGGATGCTTGAGCCCATTACCAACAGGATCAAGGGTTAGTCAGTGAAAAATTGGACAAGGAGATCAGACACTTAAGCACGCCACAGTGGGGAGAAGCTGAAAAGCATATCTGTACTCCCCTCTAGTGGACAAAGAAAAATCATCCATGAAGAGAAGAAAAGCTGTCCATCCTGCTTATCCTTAGAGTCTCGGGTGCCTCTCGCCAGCAGTCATTGAACAGCTCGCCTGTTGTTTTCATACCCAACATAATGCATTTCAGAAAATGATTAATTGTTTTATAATGTTTTTAAACACAGACAAAGTCTAAATTTAATTTGTAATCAGCCTCCTTTACTCAAATACCCTTAAAAAATTCACTGCAAGCATCTAGACCTAAACCAGTTAGTAAAATGAGTCCAACTGTGTGCAATTCAATAAAAATCCAGCTGTTCTGTGAAGGCCTCTGAGGTTTGTTAGAGGTCAGCATCACAAAGACCAAGAAACACAGGAGACAGGTCAGGGATGAGAAAAAGTTAAAGTAAGGTTAGGGTTTAAAACATTATTCCACACTATCATATCTCACAGAGCACTGTTCAACTTATCATCTAAAAATGTAAATATTGTGGCACCAAATGTATGCCCTTCCAACTAAACTGTCAGGAAAAGCAAGACAGTACAGTTGTAACCGAGGCAAAATGTGATCGTACATAATATTGATTGATGCTGATTATTTGTATACAACGAAGGCTGAATAACTATCCACTTAATCAGGCAGTTTGTTTCCCCAAATCAAAACAATACTGCATTTACAGTTGCAACAGGACAAAAGTGGAATGGTCAAGTGCAAAGTTTGTCAGTAATCAAATAGTATGCACAAAAGCCATCATTATGGGATCAGATTATTTTTTATTTATTTTTCATTTTGAAAATATCATCACAATTTCTGAAATTCTAACATTAACTCTGCAAGGTGTCAAAGGATAGATTTGTTTTTTGCAAATCAATGTCTGAAATTTTTTTATGAAATATGATAGACATGCTCTCTAATATCAAATTAATTCATGGTACACAGGGCCTTTGGAGTTTGACTTGCTCTACCTACCTTAATGACAAACTTGAAGGGAGACATTGCTTCACACCACCTGACAACAAGAACACAGGAACAATATCTAAAGTATTGACCAAAGATCCTAACAAATATCTTTAAAAGACACAAAAAGGAAATGGCTTCTTCACAATTTAGTGGAGGACAAACTAGCAAAGATTTGAGAAATCTACTTTTCAGTGAACTGGAAAATAGTTTGTAGTTGTGAAAACTACTTCAAGTTGAAAATCTAAGATTTGATCATATTTATAGAAAAAAATACAAGACAGGGCAAACTATTTCTTTAAATATTACATGAGTTATGCTTATTTTAATTATTAAAAAAAATAAAACAGCATCTCCGATGCCCTTAAACTAGTCTTTAAGAAGTCAAACATGGACTAAAATAATCTGCAGTGATTGCAAAGTATTGAAATTATATGTTTCATATGCATAGCATTTTAACACCATTTTTGCAAGTAACCCACCTTATTTGGTGATCCAGTTCTAGGTTCTTCTGTAAAATGTGCACAGAGTTGATCTACATCACTTACAAATACCTGTAAAAGACAAAGAGGAAATTACTTCTTCAGAAATTTAGTGGAAGACAAACTAGCACAGATTTGAGAAATCTAAATCCTGTGTTTTTTTAAAAAATACAGTCTCAGAATTAACATAATTTGCATAATTGCCAATATATGCATATAAAAATTCACACAGCTTTTTTGTAGCTTTACAACAGTAATGAACCTCAGTATTTCAGAGGTAGCAGCCCTCTGAGTTGTAACAGCCTTGAGCTTTTTGGGGATCTCAAGGTGTTCCGAGGCCAGGAAGTTTTTCCAGTGAGATCTAAGTCTGATACAGGGGACTCTTCCAGCTCTACTTTTTGCAGATCATGTGGAGTATAAAGGTCAGCCTAAAGTCATGACAGTCTGACCTAAAGTCAGACTGTGCTCGAGCAGTCTGAAGGGGCTGAGATGAGAGTCATCTCATATAGGTCTGTGACTAAGGTTTCCAGCAAGAAAATGGTGGACTGCACTTTTCAGGTCAAGAGTCAATCTTTGCCTCAAGTAGAGTTTACATATCTCATTATCTTCTTTATGAGGAAGATAAGACGGCGCCTAAGTTAAACAGACTGACTGGAGCTTTGCCTGAAGAAACATAGCTGCTTCTTTGTCATGGTGAAGAAATAGTTGAGCTAAAAGGCCCAGTTCTCTATTTACAGAACCCTCGGGAAAAAAACACATGAATCCAGGCATAAGTGGCTGAAATTGGATGGTTGGGCTCAACCTGTAGATTGAATATCAAACTAAAACATCAAGGCAGAGCCACAAGAGGAGAGTGTTGCTATTCTGCACTGAAAGTAGGACATCTAAAATGAAAGTTTTCCAAATCGTTCACTGTGATTCAAAGTATCTGTAAGCAGAGGAATATAATTCTATCTGGGTTTTTATCACAATTGATTATTTGCGAGTCATCACAAATAAATGAAAGACTTTATCATTTCCAGACTCTTTCAAGTTTTTATAAAGCCGTAAAAATAAAGTGAATCCAGGTTTAGCCATCCCTCTAGCTTAAATTTTAAACAATTAAAGTACCGTGGTTCAGATTCCCTAAAAACAGGGAAATAGTCCTACAGTAACAACTGCTAAACGCAAAACACAGAAATGCTGTGAAATTTAGCTACAACCACTGGATTGATTTAAAATTATGGTAAAAACAAATAAATGCAAAAAATATTAAAGAGTGTCATAAAGTGGCATGTTTAAAATCAAACCTCGAGTATTTTATTTGCTTCAGTAAACAACCAACTTCAAAAACGACAAATCGTTGCCATTAATGGGTGCATACAAGGTTGTTACTAAATGGCATCACAATTACACACTATTAAGTAAGTCAGACAAAACAAAGCGTGAGATATGTAAAAAATTTCATACCGCCAAACGTTTTGAACGACATACGCGAAGCGCCTGGAGATGACCTCAATGTGTTTTGCTGTCCACCAACTGCCATAAATAAGAGAAATTGTTTTTACTGGGAAGATTAGGAAAACAGACCCTAATCAAAATATAAAATAGTGCACATAAGTTATATTTTCAAATCTTCTGTGAAAATACAAAATAAGCGAGTAAACTAAACGAATCAGCTTGAGGGAGTTGCTGTGAAATGCGACGGGCGGTCATTGAGGACCATGGAATCAGTACGCCACAACAGCCGCCATATTATGAGTGGCCAGTCTACAAGGCATGCGTGGGACTAAACACTGAAACCGCTACCATGGAAACGAGTGGTGTTCGTATGGTGCCTGTTGTTCTTTTCTACTTTGTATGTCGTTAATTTAAATTACTTAAATAAAATCTCAATTTTACTTTAAAAATAACAAATATTTTAAAGGACTGTAATATTTCTTAATATGTTTAAAGCATGTATCTAAAACCTTTGCATTTTTTGCTAACGTTTTAGTTAGGCAGTGTTAAGAAACACGAAGTGAGTAATAGCAAGTTGACACCCTTACATTTGAAGCAGCGTTGATGTACATAACGAGTTTTTTAAGTTTACGTTATCCTTCACTGATGCAGATGTCTCGACTCGTGAAGAAATCCCCCTCTGTCTGTACGGATCTTCCTCTGAACAGCTCAGATGTTTGTAACAAACTGCGCCTGATTAAGGAGCTTCTCAAGTCTTGTTACGGTCCTACTGGCAGGCTGAAACAAGTTCATAACAACATCGGAGGGGCCGTCGTGACCACCTCCACCTCATCCGTTCTCCTTCAAGCCATTTCCTCTTCTCATCCCATCATCAGTCTGATAAAAGGCTCCATTCTGAATCACGTCTCCCGCTTCAGTGACTGTGGTTTGTTCGCTTCTGTTTTCTGTCTGTCTCTCATTGAAGAAGCAGGGAGGTGTGGCCTCAGGAAAGACGTGATAATCAGAGTATACAAGCACCTTCTGTCTCTCTGCACTGCTCATCTACAACAAGCGGACTGTGGTTGTAAAGTCAAGCTGGACTTTTGCAGCAGCCAGAGTTTGATAACTTTAGCTCGCAGTGTCATCTCCAGCAAACCGACCTGTGTGCTTTCAGAACCAGAATCAGCCCACATCAGCAGGCTGGCTGTTCAAGCCTTCCTTCTAACTGTTCCTTGCAACATCCCAGATAAAGTTCGGCTTGGCAGAACAGTTACTATCCCAATAGAGGGACACTCTGTGCTGGAATCAGCCGTGTTTCCAGGCCTACTATTGGACACGCCTGAAAACATTTCCCTTGGCAATCTTTGTAGTCCCCTGCGTATGGTTCTGTTCAGTGCATCTTTGGCTGGAGATATTAGTGAACTTGGAGATGGTAGGATCGAGATGCATCAGGGCGTGGACACTGACTCACAGATCCTGGATCAGCTTTTGGAACTTGGAAAGCAGGTACTTAAAGATGAGGTGAAGTTATTTGTGTGTCAGAAGGTCATCCACCCAGTGCTGCAGCACTACTTGACATGCAATGGTGTAATAGTCATAGAGAGACTTGGAATCAGCCTCATGGAGCCACTTATTCAGCTGACAGGTAAGACTTAGTGTCAAGCAAATATGCAGATAAGTACGAATACAATCTATATTGCATAATATTGCTTAAATGTATAATAATGGTGACGGAGATGCAAAGCATCTCTGAACATTAGTTTTCTTCTTGGAGCTTTTTTTGTACAATAGCTTTTGTGATTAATGTTCTCCCTGTTGGTCAGATTAGACAATTCATTTACTATATAGGGGATTTCTGAATTCAGTGGTGGTATTCACTTAATTTTAAGTAGGATTATCAGAGTAAGAGTGGCTAAACTCAAATAAACAAACACATTAGAGATTTTTATTACGAAGCAAAAATTGAGAAAAATGTATATATATTTTTTTCATTTTACAGTTATCCATTACTTTGGTGTTGACCTTTCACATATAATCAGAGTAAATCACATTGTGAGTTATAAAATGACAAAATGTGGACAACTTAAGGCTGATAGCATTCTTTTGGAAGCCAGTGTAAGCACCTATATGTACACTGTGTTTCATCAATGTGTGCAGTTTTAAGTTAAAGTACATTTTGCTACTGGTTTACTTATCTAATAGGTGCTCAACCTGTGGCCACGCTGCACACCACAATCCCAGGCGCAGCCTATGGGGAGGTCCATAATGTCATTGTCAGGCAGTTTGGATCCAAGACAAAGATGCATTTACACCCTGCTGGAAAAACAACCACCTGTACCATGATCCTCTGCCACAGGAATGAAACGATGCTAAATGAACTGAAGGTAAGATAAAATAGAGACGAGAGCTGCATTGTTGGTTTTAATGCATAAGGTAGATTAATAAAGGAAGCTAAGAATGTAAAATGCATGGTTGTTCTAGTGTTCTTCAATGATACATGCCTCTTTGTGCCTCTGTTTTTATATGCAGCTGGTGTGCCAGAAGACAGAGCATGTGTTGAGGCTCACTCTGAGGGAGCCGTGTGCTTTACTGGGAGGTGGCTGCACTGAAACACACTTAGCTGCTTATGTCAGACACCAGGTCGAAATCCTTTCCATTTATCAATTTTTCATTACTTTTACTAGGGCTGGCCAGTAAATCAGTAATAATATATATCATGATAGGCACGGGATCAATGTCAGTACATAATATGTCTGATAGAATTTTCAATATATATTCACCGAACTCCGACCCAGAACCACATGGCATTCTGGGAGATGTAGAGAGAGAAAATATTTTAGCCACTCTGCCTCCCACAGTTTGGTCTATTAACTCACTCAGTCTTTGGTTACCTAGCAACAACCTGCAGCTGAGTAACTTGTGCAATATCAGTTTAAGGTTTTGCCACCCTGCCTCGTAACTGCTTAAATTATTTTTAAAAACAAAAGCATGCAGTGAAAACTGGATAAAAGAGAAAATGTCATGTCACAAGTTTTTCAGTATTTCAGATATTTAGGACAAAAATAGATATCACCTAATTCGAAACGCTTATATTGTGATATGTTTTTCAGCCATACTGTCTAGGTCTTTGTATGAATCTTAGCTTTTGTAATTATGTCTTCTTGTACAGAGCAAGAATGATGTGTCGGAGTCCTCACCTGTTTTGGGCTGCTCACAGACAGAGTACCTTCTTGCTGCTGAGGCATTCTGCCGCTCTCTGGAGTCGGTGGCCACATCTCTACAGCACGACGATGGGGCTTCTTTCATCGACCTGACTCACGCACACCACTGGACTCTCCCTTCAGATGTTACAGAGGAACACCTGGAGGACGCTACGGCACTCTGTGGCTGTGGAGTGGTACAAAGCTGCCAAAATAAAAAGTGGAGCTACCTGCCCACTGAATATGCAGAGTTCTCCCCGGCACCCTTAACAGCGGCGGCGCTGCAGCCGACCGCACTCGACTCTTTCACAGCTAAAGTTAATGCGTTAGAAGTTGCGGTGGAAACTGCTAATCTTGTACTGGATGTGAGATATGTCATTCAGGATGTGAACTAACTAAGAAGATGTGTTATCAACAATGAGATGACATCACAGACACTCTTTTGTGATTTTTTTCATTTTATTATTATGTTATGTGAACAGTAAATTACATTTTTACTATTATTATTCAACATGCAGAACACTCTGGCAGTAAATTAATACACATCAATGTAGCATCCCCACTTTTAAACAAAATGGTGAAACCATCATGCTTTGGGAATGTTGGTCTTCAGCAGGAAGTTACAAAGAAAAATAAAAAGGAGCAGCAAAAGCAAATGAAGTGGATTAGCAGGGCTTGTTAACAACTTATGGTCTCATTCAGAACATATTACAGTGGTACATTGTCATGACAGCCTTCAGAATGATCTTTATTACAATATCGCTACCAAAGATCCTTCCTGTTCACAGCATCACCATATATGACAACTTTTTAATATCAGTTACGGCAATATTTATTTTCCCTTTGCAATAAATTAGTTTTTAAGTTTAAATAAAATTTAAAAAGTGCATAAACCCAGAACAGTTTTGTTCATGGACTGTTTGCGATCAGCAGAGCATAATTGAATATTTGGAATGCTGGTCAGAAGTTTGTATGCATTTATTGTGCACTTCAGTCCCTCACTCCAAAACAGACCTAAATTGTTATTTAATACTAGTGTTAAATGACCTATAAGTCTGTTTTGGAGTGTGTAATCTCCATGGTCATCATCTGTTGGGGCAACAGTGTGGAAAAAAACAATATCTAATCTGTAGTACCAGATCAGGCTTGAGACTGGCAAATGGCAAAGAGCAAAATCTATATTTCAGTCGTTTGCAAACGGAGAACACACAGTAACCACAGCACAACAGCTGTACCTACAATGAGTTCTGATTTGGAGCTGCAAGCTCTCACAATATATAGGACTCTATACAATGTGGTCACTGCCTGGCCCAGAGTCAATTCCAGTCGAACAGGTTAATGTACAGTCACTCTTAACAGGGTATAGAGAGAATGCAACATCCATTCTTAGGGTAAGTTAATTGTTCAGATGATAAACATTTTTGTTCAAAAATAGGTGCATTTCCAAAAATCAGGTTTACTAATGGAACAATTTTGCATAACAAGAACCTTATCAGACTTTGTACGTTCACTCAGCACGTAGCCTTAGCTTGTGACATTTTAATGGAGGAATTTGTTAACTCTTCTTTAAAGACTCCTTGACCTACACGGTTTGACAGACTAAACAATACTAGTGTTAAATGACTAAAGAATTAAAATAAAATTCTTTAAAGAAATAATAACACAATTTTTACTTCACAACAGCATCAGAGCAAAGGACAAAAGAGTCAGTGGAAAAAGCTCAATAAGCTGATAAAGAAGGAGTTTGCTCTGAGGCAGAGCAAACTCCTGCCTCAGATAATCAGAACATCAAACTTTTTTTGTAAATTGCAGTGGTTATTACCGACCTTTAAAAATCTTTAACAGTTTCATGAAACATCAAATAGACTCCCACTTTTCTTCTAAAATAATTTTTTTGTTAATTTTTTTAAACATATATTCACTATTTACTAAAGAAATGTCAAATTCTGATTAAATAATCATTTATCTCTTAAAAAATAAATAAAATTGCAGTTTTGATGAGGGCACATATAATATATAGTAAATGATGGAATTTTCTCAAAAAAACCCCCAAAAAACATTTGATCCACTGATCAATAAAAGACCTGTATATAAATACTAAATGCCTTTACTCCACAGTTTTCTTCCAGTCCACTCAAGTCAAGTCAAGTTTATTTGAACATCACATTTTAGCAAGACAGTTCAAAATGCTATACACCATAAACACATCAAACAGTATCCAGTTATTAAATAAGCAATAAACATTATTTTTAATCAAATGTCATCATCACATAAATGATCACACAACACTGGAATGAAATGGCTTAATTACCTCCATCTTGTGTAGATCAGTTCTCCAGAGCCCTGCTATTGAGCTAATTACTATATTCAGGTGTGGTGCAGCAGAGGGTAAGTTAATTTAAAGGTTTCAGGGCAGTGGCCCTCCAGGACTGGAGTTTGACAACTGTGCTGTAAAGGGTGGGCTGGAGACACTTGACTAGATCCCCCATCTAAATAACAAGCATAGATACAATGTGATGCAGAATGAGTTTGAGAAAAACATTAACTTTCTTAAAAATAGAAGAGGCCTCAAACACATTAATGCAGGTGCAGCAAACACCTGTATGATACACAGAAGTTGATGTGCTGATTTTAAACCATTTTGAAAACTCAAAATGGTTTAAAAACCCTGCAGTGCACAAAAATCATATTCTTCTAGTCACACTCTCCAACGCACGAAATTGAATACACTGATTCGCATACAAGTAGGCAACTCGGGGTTAAGTGCCTTGAGCAGGGGAACATCAACATGTGACAGGAGGAAGCTGGAACCTGCATTATTATGTTTTTATGGTGTGAAGATCTTTAAACTGTCTTGTTGCTGAAATGTATTATACAAATAAACTTGACTTGACTTGACTTGGAACTCACAAATTCCAATTTCAAAGTTATTACTCAACCCAGTGAGCCACATCTGCCCTCTGGTGAGGAGAGTGTGTTCTTTTTCTTCAAGGCATGAATAGATCAAGGGCTACACGGTGAGAAAATTGTGGCAATAAAGTTCTGGGTTTTAATCCCAGTCTGCAGGCTTTGTGCATTTAGTTTGCATGCTTTCCTCATTTATGTGTGGGTTCCCTCTGGGTACTCTGGTTTCTTCAGAACAGCACATCTTTAAAAAGAGCAATCTTAAAATGAGAGATCTCAGAAATATGCGTCTAAAATATCATGCGTTTGGTGTTCTAGAGCTAAAACTGGAACCGTTCCCCAACTAAATGTAATGAGAGGATGTTTCAGAAGATGAATGGAATCAAAGCCTTTCGAAACCTGGGGTATTCTTTAAAATGTCCCTTGTAAAACCTGTAACGAAGATAAGAGAAATTAGGAATAAAATAAACGACAGCACAAAAACAGGGATCATTAATCTTTTGAAAATATTGTAGGTACTTGTGATGGTAATAGGCTCTTGGTCCAATAAAACTGAGGCTAAAGACAGCAATCGAAAATCCTGGAAGGGACCATGTCACTATGGCATAGCCAAACCACTCCACCAGTTCCCCAAAGTAGTTGGCACCAGACACATATTCAAATAGGCCTCCTGGAGGAAATTAAGCAGACCATGTGAGTGCAAGCACACTTTGGAATAAAGTTTACTTGAGTATAATCAGGTTCATACCTGCTGGAATTTTGTAAACCTTTTCTTTAGGTTTCCTCAGGTTGCGTAGAATGTAATCGCTGTGTACATTAATGGCCATCCCAATGTAAAACACCACTAAGCCTGAAACAGCAGGTAACACAACTAACATTTCACAAGTCATCAAGGATTTAAGATGAGAGGGGTGGTGAAAGAGCGTGTGCTTACCAATTGTATAGCGATAACTAACTAACCATTCCTCATCGAACTGGGCACAGTGCAGCAGATAGTGACCCTGCAGAAAACCGTTCAACAAGCAGAATGAACCAGCTGTGGCCATCACACTCAGGGGGAAAGGCTGTCCTCTGGTCAGCAGGGAATACACAAATGACCTGTGATAGACAGACAAACAACAGAAAGAGAAGGTAGACTAAGAGGTAGAGGTGTAATCTTGGATTTGTTCAGCCATTCCTGAAATCAAGATCCCAGAGTTTGGAGGCAGAGGTCGAATCTGAAGTTGATGTGCTGATTGCTTTCAAAACAATCTGGGATTCCACAGCAGAGCCACAGTTTGATTACTTCCATGTTAAGCTTCACTGATTCAGTAACTCAAACAAAAGGAGAATCAATCAACTATTGAGTGCAAATACAGTTCTTGACAATGTTAAAAGAGATTAAATCAGGAAAGACCAAAATTTAACAGAAGTAAACAGTTAAAATACATCTTATGAAGCTAATTTACTGAAATAAATGAACTTTTCTAACATTTTAAGATGCAGCTGAATGTAAATGACTTTCCCATTGCCTGTATTGTCTTTCAGGTAAGAAGTTTTCAAACATAAATATGGTCATACATGAGCCCTAATCCCCCAGTACCAGGGCAGAGCTTAACTTTTTCCCCTACACTCATTACTGCACGTCCCTCTAGTTAAACATAGAAATATTTGGCATCGACAAAAATGTCAGATTCTTGGAAGCTGATAAAAACCATTAGAGTTGAGCAGGAAGCATCTGAGTTTATGTCCAAGGGCTGTGGGACAGATGTCAGTGACCAGAACCCTCATAAAAAATAAAAAATAATAAAAAAACATAATGTATTTTGATAGTTCAGAGGGAAAAAAAATCTGTAAAATGTGTCTAAATTTGGTGTCAGCTTTCTTTTTTTTACACTGGATTCCCAAAATCCAGTGTAAAAAAAAAAGTGGAAGTAAAACAAAAATGTATTGTTTTATTGTAATTGGATGAAAAATAAAATGTGGGTATTAAAATAATAGAAGCACAAAGATATGTAAGAATAATTTTATTATGTATAAGTAAAAACACAGGAATCTGTTCAGCAAACGGTGTCATCTTGTGCCAGTGGGAAACCACCTGGAAATATTTTAATGAAACATCTGTACATTTGCTCTAGTTTATGTCAGCTGCATCAATCTTTGTACAGTTTTATATTTCTAAAATATAAAGTATATGTTGTATATATTTCCGAAAGGTTTATGTATTATATAGTGCAAAAATAATCTGGCAAGAAACAAAAAAAAATCCCCAATTATGCGTCATCTGCATTTTTAACTTAAGCAGTATCCCAATGTTTATTTTTATATCAAGATCATTTAAATAGTTTGTCACTACTAAGGAAAGCTAAACTAGATTTGAGTATGTTATTTTAAAGGCATGCTTCAGAAAACCCTGTGAGGCTTTTGAGGTTTTAAATGCACTCAGCATCCTAAATTAATCCCCTCTTTGCTCTTACCTGTGGAAATAGTGCAGACAGAAGGTCTTCAGCAATATGGCCCTGCCCGTGGTAGAATATTGCTGTGAAAAGTGCATCAGCAGCAGGGGCATCAGAAAAGCTGGCATCTCCTGCAGGAACCAGGCAACTCTGGCAGGGACCATTCTAGTCGGAGTGGTGGGTTTCATGTAGCGTCCATAGGAGGCCTGTGCCTTCCTGTGGAGGATCAGGTGAAGAAGTCCTGCCAGCAGCATCCCACTGCTCAGATAGTTCACCACGCTCTCATAGCAGTGCATCTTGCAGGTCTTGTCCTCCACACTAGAGTAATCCTTTCCAGTTCTGAACTAATCCTGAGTATCTGTTTAAAGCTGAATGGATGTAAACAGCCTCCCTGTGACTCCTCCCACAGAACACAGCCAAAGTCTGTCGGCCAGCCTGCTGAAACATGAAAGTGTTCCCTTTTTCACAGCTTATGTACATATTTTGCCTGAGGCGAGGTTATGATTATCCCGCCCTCCCGAGAACAAATTTAGGTTTTGCAGCAAACCCGGAGCAACAGCCATGGAGTCATCTGTGACAGATGACTTCTGGTAAGAGCTTGCTTCATGTCAAAACTCCCTAATCTATGAATCCATCCAGTTAAAAAAACTCATAAAGTAATTTGGGCAAAGAAAAAAATATGGAAATCTGATTGTTTTAACAGATTTATTTGTGCATTTGCACATTATTTTTTAATTGAAATGGGACCAAGTGATTAAAGCTTTTTAATCTCCTCAGCAACTGCTTGGATTACATGAACAAATCGTTGGCATGCTGGTCATATTGCATAAACAGCACTAGATTTAATAGATAAGAAAAATGGAAATAACTGAAACAAGTTCAAATAAAAGCTGAAAAGACTCCGAATGATGAGAAGCAATCTGATTTCTACAGTATGGCTCACAGGAAGACACACAGCTGAAAGGATCATTACCTCCTGTTGTTGTTGTTGGAGATAATAATCATAAATTTTCTGCCGGTTGTGTCAAGGATAATACAAATGTAATGAGATTGAACTAGAGTGCATTAGAACAAGTTATGCTTCTTTTTAAGTGCTTCTGCTGTTTGGTGGTGCTGCCCTGAGTACAGAACTCCAAAAATTAGATAAACACTGAAAAGTTAATTTAATTCATTCATTGAATTTAAAGAGTGAAACTAGAATTTCATAGAGATTGATAACACAGCATGATTGGTTTAATTTGTAAAGCAAATATCTTAGTATCCTTGACTATTATAGGAGTCAAGGATACTCCTATAATAGGAGTATGTTTTGAGTAAATAATTCCTTAATATTGTCAGAAAAGCACTAGTTCTGCAGCCAGAGTATTTCACTTACAACAATGGAAAAAGTTTTGTTATATGTATAATATTCTGCCGGCAGAAATTGTTTTTTTAAATTTTATTTTTTAATCAACCTGGGCTAATTAAGGAATTATTTAGTTAAAATATAGCTCACTTGAAATCAGGCAAATATAAGATATCTGAAACTAAATCAAAAAATACTTAATAAAATGTGTTTTTGCAGTGTATATTTTAGGTGTCATGTTTTCATTTCGAATACATCTAAATGGCTAACAGATAATGAAAACCCAGCATCTTAAATTAATAAAAACAAGGCATTTTAACAGAGAAAAGTTATGATCCACATTATGATGGGAACAACTGCTGACTTGATGGTTTTCCAGTACAGTCACTGACACTCCCAAAGGACGGTAAGCTCATTGCTAAAGCAGCTGGCTACAGAGTGATGCATGCAGCATATCAAAGGAAAGTTTGGCAAAAGGAAAAACTGTGGTCTTTGTATGAGCAAAGACCATTCAAATGCTAAGGGAGATTCACAAGGCACCCCACAGGACATGAACTACAGCTGCTAGAAGTAGAGATGTCAGAAGTGTCTTATATGGGACTAATAGGACAAGGATTGGACTGTTGATTAGTGTCCCAAAGTTCTCTTAAAATGAAAATAAATTTTGTATTTTGTAAAGCAAAGAATCCGAGTTGCTTGAGAACCACTGTGAAGTTTCAATGACAATTTGGGTGCCATGTCACCTGCTTGTCTTGATCCACTGGGTTTAAAAAAGAAAAAAAAATGAAGTTCAAGACATTAAGTTTGACAGAATTGGGACGTATTAAGCACTTCCCCTCTTCTGAGGGTTTATAGCAATGCTGATTTCCTCTTCCAGCAGGATCTGGTATCTCCCCACACTGCCAAAGGTTCAAATACTGGTTTATTGCATCACTGCGCTCGAGTGGCCTGCAAACTGGGCTGACCTCAACCCCATGGATCCTCTGTGGACTTTAGGTCAGCAGACTGATGAGACACACCAGACCCAACAACGCAGATGACTCGAAACCAACCATTAAAGCAACCTGGGCTTCCACTACATCCCAGCAGAACCACAGCCTGAGCTCCTCCATGCTGTATTGACATAGAAACTAATGCAAAACCTAAAATATATAACCATACTTTTCTGTCTTAAACATTCTTTCTCCTGTTTTTTTATTTGCTGTAAACTATAATCAATTTAACAAAATTAATGAAATAATTTACCTTTTCAATAATATTCTAATTTTGTCTCAGAACGATCAATGGAGCATAAGACTTTCTGAATTTTCATGACTGAAAGTATATGCAGAAAAAATCGATTTTTTTGTGACAGAAAAATAAGACACTTAAACAGACGTGCTTTTCAGTACATTTTACTTCTTTTGTAACATGAATCTTCTGCTTTTTCTGAAGAGCCTTTTGGGATGCTTTGTCAGTGGAACCTGAGATCAAAAAAACTCCATTACGGGAGCAGATAAGCTGTATTTTTCCCTTTTTTTTTTAATTTAATGATGTGAAAACTTCCAAATCCTAAATAGAGAAGAAAAGAAAATACAAAAGAAAAACATCTCTAAAAAGACAAATGACCAAAGACTGAGAAATGAACAGTGTGGAGGTTAAGCTATTTGTCTCTCGCTACAAGAATGAAGTTGACAGAACAGAACTCCCTTGCCGGAGAAAGGAGATAACAGTGGGTGCCGTTTTAGCCCAACAGACGGGTGTGCAGGGTAAGAAGTGATGAAGTGTTGGGCGGTCCGGAAACTAAGTGGGGCTGTCGGCAAAAGGGAAGAGGAGGGGAAAGAGTACACAAAAACTGAAAACACTTTTTAGAAAATAAGACTGAAAGTGAGATATATATATAATATATATATATATATATATATATATATATATATATAAATGTGCAACAGTGATAAAAGGCACAATAGCACAGTGTGTCATGCTTTGCTAGTTTCCTGTAAATTAGCATAAGAGGTCATGTGAGTCTGAGGTTTCAGCCTTCAGTCTGTGTTCCACTTGTTTCAACAAGGTTTGCATTAATACTAGATGTGGAATGAGGCTGGAATTACCTTAAAGCAGCAAACGCATCACGCTGCACATTGTCAAATTTCTATCAAAAACTCATGCGGCTTTTATTAATAATTAATGCCCAATCAGCTCCTGTGGACAATTTACAGAGTTATACAGCCTTGCAAATGTATTTACGCCCTTAAATTTTCCAAATTTGTGCCTAGAACTGAAGTACGTTTTATTGGTATTTTATACAATCACAACACATTATTTTGAAGTGGGAAGAAAGTTATGCATGGCCTTTAAAACAGTACTGCACAACCGTTAGCATAGCATTAGGCCTACTAAGAATATAAGATGGACCAGACAGAAGCAGCCACGAGAACCAGAGTAAATTTGGAGGAGCTGGAGAGACCCACAGCTCAGGTGGGATAACCTGTTGACAGATTCACTCCACAAATTTGGCCTTAAATGAAATGTGGCAAGAATAAAGCCACAAGAAGTCCCTTTTGCCATGTAAAGTTATTGCAAACACACAGAAAAATGTGCTCTGGTCAAATGTGGAGGAAAAGCAACATTGGATGTTTAGTACATATCACCTGCACAACATGCTTTGGGGATACTTTTCATCCACACACAGGGAAGCTAGGAAAAAACATGGCAGATGCTGCAAAAGTCTGGGGACCAAGTCTTTTACCTCTAACGGAACTTTCCTCCCGTTAGAGGTAAGTGTGCCTCTATCAGGAGCACTAACCCCCAACAATTTATGTCTGAATGGTCCAGTCAAAGAATAGAATTGAATGCAACTGAAAATCTAAGTGATTATCACACATAATTTCCATTCAATCTGACAGAAATTAACCCATTCTTGAAGGCTGCATGTTAGAAAAAGATATTAAAATGTCAGTAATTAACGTTGCAATGATCACAACTGACCCACATTTTCTCTGCTCTCCTTTGACCAGTAAGTTCTTCATCAGGTGGTGGAAAATAAAGGAGACTGAAAGCCCGTCCAAAGGACCAAATGTGTCATTGGCAAGCAAAGTTTTAATGCATTGCCATTGAAATATACACTGTTGTCTAACATTTCAGTCTCCATATGTACAAAGCTAGTAGAAACATACCCAAAGACCTGCAGGGGAAGGGAAGTGGCTAAAACCAAATCTATGCCACATTTCTTAGACTGATTTTCATTTGTAACAATGTTTTTTATTGTTCCGATATATAAAATACAATAAAATACCTTAACAAGTCAAGTGGGGTAAATAATTTTGCAAAGCATTGTAAAAGCAACAGTCCTCTTGGGCTTTTGTGCTTCAGTATTTCCAAACCTTTAGCCAATGAATTCAAAATGCAGCTGGTAGTAATATCTCTCAGTGTTCTGGGGAAATTTGACAGATCATTATGTTTTTGAGCAGATTTAGAAAACTTTGACCATCCACTATGTTCTGATTTATTACAAATTTAGAACAAACCAATTCTGAAATAATAATGACATGGAACTTTGAAAAATAAACTTTCAAAAGTGGCCAAGACAGAAATTAAAATGTGTTGTTGTGCAAAGGTTTTTGGCGTTATTCAGTCAAAAACAAGAAGCTGTAATTAAAAACCTCCTTCACAGACTTGACATGTAATCTTTGAAGATGGTGGTCATTCCAGCTTGGCTGCTTTGTTTGGATCGCCTTGAAAAAAGCTCTACTCAGTACGTAACAAAAACATTTTACAATTCAAGGAAAAAGGAAAAATAATAAGTAATCACTTCAGTGTGAAGAGTCAGTTATTACAGGGATCCAGGAGGGAAGTGTAAACTGTAAATAGAAGGTGCCAGAGTCTGGATTTGATTACATTTCTGTAGCATCCATAACTGCAGCAAAGCGCTGAAGATGTAATCTGTAATGCCATAAACATACGACTGGATCAAAGGATCAGTGGTACATACATTGATCTACAGGCCAAACCATGTTGACAACCTCAGAGTCAATCTGACGAAGCTGCTACTCAAATCTACACACTAATCCAGTTAATACTATCACATCTATCAAAACTTCTATAAAGTAAAAAAAGGTTAAAATATGAATAAAATATATATATTAAACCAATATTATGATTATAATATGTGTTTTTTTTTTGTTTGTTTTATACAGTAGGGTCTAAGTGAACTTTGTCGAGTGCAGCCCTTTTTTATGCTGTATAGTGGTAGCAGTTACCTATGACACGGTTTCCCAAGTTAGCATAGCATTAGGCCTAATACAGTCAGAAGACTCATTCCGTCCTCATCTGGGAAGAGCTGAATATTCTCCAATAACATCTGCAGTTTTATTGAAATTGGTATTCTTCAGGGGGGCGAGTTATAAGAGAACATATCAAATCCAAATAAATCTTTTTCTTTTCTTTTTTTTTTACATCTCTGTTGCTCGTCATTATTGGGGAAAAAAGGAGGGTCTACAGGGATAATCCAAAAAGAAAGATTTGCTACTCCCAGAGCTTTCTCCAACCCAGTCACCTCCGTCCTCTCCTGAAATTTCACTGCAACCAAAATCTCGGAAGACACTTCAAACTAAGAGGTGGGTTGAGAAAAGCGAAGAAGAGCTGAGGGACTAAAGGGAAATTATTTTATTGGCTTCAATTATCTAAGTTTTTCCTGCACATAGTGGGCATTACCGAGGGAGTTGGGGCGCATGGGGATAGGAATCGGAGAATCATGGGTCAAGGTTATGGCATTAAGATAGTAAGGGCAGGGTGGCGGCGTTCCAGTGGCCCCTGCAGAAGCTGACCTCAATGAACGATGAGCGCCCCAGCAGCATAACTCACGGAGCTGTCCTGCCAGTTCCTGCACTGACTCGACTGGGCGTAGTTCAGGAAAGAAAAGTTCATTTCTAAACCAGACTTCCTAAGCTCGGCCACAGCCTGCAAAACAGAAACAGATCGTTAGTTTCTAAATGATGGTTTGCAAGCAGACAAATTATGCAAACATCTATGACTCTTCCTTCTTCATACTCCTTGAACTTTCTAAATTGCATGGCATTAAAAGGCAATGTTTTTTATTGGGATTCAATGTGATAAAGACAAAGTGGTGTTTTAGCACAAAAATCTGTTAAAATCTTAAAATAATTGAAAAGGTTTTATTTCTCTCCGTTTTGGGGGTCTCCCTGTGCATGCATGGATTTTCTCCAGGTACTCTGGCTTCCTCTCAGTGTAAAAATTAATTGATCTCTTTAAATCACCTCAAGGTGTCAGTGTGTGTGTGCTTACATGCACACACACACACACACACACACTAGATAAAAATGTAATTTATTACCATCTTAACAAAAGCAATATAACAGTTTCTCACTGAGTGTAACACCATACCAATAGTTTGATCTTATCATGCAACAAGAGTGTTAGTAAAACTTATATATTTAACCAGCAATGAGAATTATTCACTAAAAGTCAGTATTAATAGTTTAAGTGTTCAGCTGTTCTTACATTTAGCAGCACTCCAATAGGGTGACGTCCACAGATGGTGTTACGGTACTTCTTCAAGTAGTTGGTGAAGGAAATGGGATCCAGTTGCTCTATAATGCTCATCCCCTACAGAAAAAGAATAAACTACATTTTAAAAAATGTAGGCCAAACTATGTTGACAGTGTAAAAAAAAAAAAAAGTTATTTTTGGACTGTATGTTTTCTGCCATTAGGGTGTTCAATGAAAACCAGGGAGGCCCTGCCCAATTTTTAGATCAAAACATTTTGGATATGCCTTCTAATATGTTGATTTGTATATACACAAGGAAGAATTCCTCTTTGTTTCACATTCATACCTGTATCTCAGTTTGAATAAGCTAATATGTATTTTCAATCATAAAGAAAGCCTCTTGAAGAAATATGCTACTGCATATCTTTAATTCAACCATTATCTTAGTTTCCTCCATAAAAACACAAGAAGCAACAATTAAAATCAGTATAATCTAACGGTAACATTATTTCCATATCCGGTAAATAAGATATATTTAGTACAATTTGCTAGAGCTCTTCAATCTACTAATACATTCACATTTGACCGTGTCTTTCTAAGTAGTTACCATTTTATCAAGATGCTCAATAGATCTGTAGATCTCTCCTTGAGACTCGTCGTAGTATGTGTAGCGAAACCGCTGGCCTTCAACAGAGAAATTAACAACAACAAAAAATTGTTTCTTTTGTCTTGACACACACTCAGTGAAAATGTCAGCTTTCTTTCAGTTTCTGGTACCTACCCCAGTGACAGAAGTCAGAAGAGATTATGAAAAGGTTAGAAGGATCTGCCAGGTATTTGCTGAGCAGCCTCCCATATTCTTGCTCCTTAGACTCACTCAGAGCACCCACAAGCACAGGAACAATGCTGAATTCATCTTTGTGACTGCAAGATCAGAGAACAACTCAAGTTGCATTTTAGACACACTCTGTAAAACAGCTTCATGCTTACAAAAATCAAAGGTTGTCCTACGTAAAGAGCCAGAGTACTTAGTTCAATCTCTTGCGTAATCCCTCTTTAAGCCAGTCAACACCCGAAGTAACAGAAGGTTTTATTATTTATTCATGTGAATCAGTGTAATTTGGATTACACCAAACATAAGGACACTGAGAAGCAAAAAAAAAAAAAAATGGATTCCATATTTTGCTCTGCAAAGAGTTGAAAGAAACAGAACATAACTGGTACTTTCCATTAGATTACTAGATGACTTTTTCTCCACCTATCTGCCAGGTTGCAGCACATTAGGAGTAACAATGTACAAAAGTCAATGACTTGATGCAATCTGCAAGGTTTCTTTAGACAGTTTTTAAACTAATTTGAATGATAAACTGAGCTTACTGCACTGTGTGATTACTAGGATGAATTGGAATGTATGTATGATTGAATTGGAATGATTTGTGTAAAGTGTCTCGAGACAACACTAGTTGTGAATTTGAGCTATATAAATAAACTGACTGGAAAAGCACAATTGGGCACAATACAAAAACATTTTCGAGTTTTGTTTTCCTTAACTGAAGATAAAGTGCAGCACAAGTCCGACAAGACTGTAGCAAAGAGCAAAGTGCTCAACAGCCACTGTGCAACACTACTGGTAAAAGGGTTTGAATAGTTTAATAATTTGTAGAGCAGCTGATAGTTAAAGTTTGGGCCTGGCCTCCAGGAAGGAGGAGGAAAGAGTGAGAATCAGATGGAGATCTTCAGTGACATTACACTGTAGTTCTATAGTCTTCATCTGGATGTGTGTATGTGCCTTCTCCACAAGAAAAGCATGTGGATAATGTTTCTACATTTCAAAGTCAGCAAAGTGTTTTATGCACTCATTGTGCAGAGTCATTAGATATCAGAAAAACTGCACCTGAAAACACATTGGGGCCGCCTTGGTTTGTTATTTCTTTGCAATGCAGAAAGTGCCACAATCAGATCAGAAATTAGCTCGTTGTGATGTTTGCTGAAAGACGCATTACTTCATTGAATGGAAACAACTGCATCCCAACCCAGATTTGTGCTTTATGTAATACATATACAAAGGGAAAATGTGGCTATGCGTCTCCAATAAACAAAGTTTGTCAACAAAATGTCATCCATATTTTGTTTCCTCTGAGCAGTAGTTCGGTGCGGGTCTGTTCATCATTTTATGGTCCTGCACATTCAGGAGAGCATTTAAGCTCCGTTGGACTCTCACTGGGCATGTGGGGTTCAACCTAAACGCCTCACATGGTGTTATATTAAAGCAATAACAAATGTAAGTTATCTACTATTATGTCACAAGTAGTGACATTTTCTGTCCCACAATCAATATGTTGTATAGCGCCACCTTATCTGTACTAAAACAGAGTAGGATTGTTTCAGTTCTGATTGGTTCTATGGCCCACTTTTACAATAGAAACCAACAAAATCACATACCAAATCCACCTGCATATTGGTACATTTCTCTACTCAGAAATGATCTGGGCAGAGACTTAGTATAGAAAAAAGGTTACAGCTGGTAGGCAGGACTATTTGTTCAATTTCAAGGAGCTTGAAGACGGAGTTTTGTGGACAGACTGCTAAGCACTGTAATATTATTTAGTCATCAGTTCATCTGATCATGTTTTTTGTTATCTAAAAGTGCAAAACATTATAAATCATTCTGTTTACAGCGCACTGTGGTGAAAGACAAAATAAAACCTTCAGTCAAATTTATGTCTTAGGGTTCTAGGAGGTTTATGTTGGGAGGCAAACTTAAAAACACCACAAACCCTGAACATCATCAACACATTTCTAAGAAATGAAGCTCTGTTGTGTGCATGTGATGTTGATTTCTTTGGAAATAAGACTGCATTGGCAGATCACTGAATATCTGTAAAGTTCAGCATTCTTCACTGAGGCCAAAATTCAAATCTATCTTGTTGGAAAGATGTCTTCAACGTAATCTGCGCCCTTACTACAGCTTTGCAGGACTACTTCAATTATTTGCATCTTGGATAAAAAAATGGGGAAACTTTGCACCCTTTTCATGTGCATTACCTCTCCATGGCTTTAGCAGTGTAAGGCAAGTGCATTTCAATACTGTGCTCATCTTCATCTGTCTGCAGACTCATCCTCTCAAATAACCCGGTCTTCCAGAGGTCTGCGTAAACTGCAAAACACAGAGTTTAATTATTAGTGCATGATAAAGCTCTGCTTTGGCTTCAGATCAAATTAATGAGTACAATTAAGGTGAAAATAAAGATGACACAAAGAATTTTTTATTTAAAAAGAAATTTTAAAAAAGCACAGAATCAACCTATCAACCAAAAGGTTGATAGGATCAGAATCATCCAATAAAAATTGCACGAAGGATATCTAATCCAACTTCAGACTTTTCTTTTTCTATGTAGGGATACATTATAATTAAAAAGAATTAGGTCAACTTTGTTTTTATCTTAAAATATTAATTCTACTATTAAAGCTAACCTACTACAATTCAGATAAATCACTATGCTTCCAAGTAATTTCAGTAAATATAAGCAAACACCCGGTGAAAGAATTCATACTCCTGGGCTTTTTCTCATTTTGCCAAGTTACAACCACAAAATTAAATACATTTTATTGAACTTTTATGTCAACAATCAACAATACAAAGTGCATAATTGTAAAATATAAGAAAAAAGAAATATGTTTCTCAACTTTATTTACAAATTACATTCTGAAAGGAGAAGACATTTCCAAATATATATGTTGCTAAACCCATAACAGATGTTCTTCTATCAAAACTTTCTGAATAAATCAGCAGCTGGAATAAATTCACACACAAGTCCTAAGGACAAACATATAGAGAAGAACCAGAAATCACAGTCAGGAGTGAAAGCTGCAAGTACCCTTCTGGTCGATTCTCAGGTCATAGAGGGGCGTTCTATAGATGTCTGCAGGTGACAGGGCACAGCGGGAGAGGGGCACATGGTGTGAAGGTCCCAGAATGAACACCCTACGACTGAAAACCAAGATGAATTTATCTCACTCACGCCTTTATCACACAAAGCACACAACCAAACAACCAGCAATATTATCTGTTATCTACACAGCATCTGTTTGTTCAGTTGAAGTACTGAAGGTCCCTAACCTCTAACCCTAAATGTAAGAAACTTTTATTCAACACATTTTTTCCTTGAATGAGGAATAAAGCCAGAAAGCTGAAGGGACTTACGTAACAGAGGGATCCACCTGCTTGTAAGCATGTGCTGCACAAGCACCACAGTAGGTATACCCAGCATGGCTGCAAGCAGAATACATGTTGGTAAAGCGTGAATACTATTTCACATGCTGTAGGGATGATTGTCAGTGTGCTCTTACGGCGCAATGATGGCTCTAGCAGGTCTGATTGTGGACTGTGCTTGGGACAGCCAGCCCTCTAATTGTGCATTCAGCTGGGATCCTGAAAAGTAAAACAAACAAATAAAAATAAATATGGGGATGTGTGCAGAAGAGCAGAGACATTCGAAAACCACAGAAAAGCAGCTATTATAAACTGTAATTAGTTTTATCTAATTACAATTTTTAATTGCATTTTTAGCTCTGTGGTTTTATTATTGGCAGTCATCTCTGGCCACCTCTCTTTTGAAAAAGGGATTTTGAATCTCAGTAAGATCCATCTAGTTAAATATAGTTTATAAATAAGAAAACAAAGAAATACTGGAATTTTAATGAGTTGACAGAAAAAAAACGCATGAGTAAAATTGTTTAAAAGTAGGATGACTGGAGGTATGCTGCGGTGGCATAGGGGACAGTGCGACCCACGTTCCGAGGCCTTGAGTCCTCAACGCGGCCATTGTGGGTTCGATTCCTGGACCAGACGATATTTGCCGCATGTCTTCCCTCCTGTCAGCTTACTTTTTTATAAGGGACACTACACCCCACAAAAGATCCCCTGGAGGGGGAAAAAAAGTAGACTGATTAAAGGAAATGCATTCTTGGATTTGTAATATGAAAAGCTAAGTAACAAAAATTGAGTGTTTGCACTCTGCTCAACAGTAGTGAATAGTAAACAGTTACATTATTTCAGTAACTTACTTGGGAAAAGAAAAATCTACAGATAGAATTGGGTTTACTCTATCATACTTTTACTTAAGTATTACTAGGAAGTATCAGTACTTGAATAAATATCTGGATAACTTCCCCACTGTGAAACATCCCTAGATGAACAAACACAATTTAAAAAAAAAAAATGCCACAGACACACACCTACAGTTTATGTTAAATTGAGACTTGTTATTTATACACAAGCTTGTTCTAATCTTATTTTCCATCTACTGCGCCATTTGTAAGCCCAATCAACATACAGTAAACACCATGCTCTGCCTGTTCTAATATACATCACTAAAAATAAGTATTAGCTGGATACATTTTATTTACAAAAGAGATTTCTTCTGCCTGAATTTAGTTAGTAATCATGGTTTTCATTTGTATGATTTATTTTAATCTTTAAAATAACAGAACTTCCAAATAATATTACATCATATATTATGATCAGTCACTATTGCATCCCAGTAGCATTTTCACCAAATACTTTTGTACTTCTTCTTGAGCAATGATATGTTGAAGTAGTTCTAGTCTTGATGAAAAACTTTGGCTACTCCACAGACTCTTCTTTTTTTTTTTGAGTGGAAAATCTGAGCGGTTTGTAGAAATGTTTCTATAAGAAATAGCTTACGGTTTGTAAAATGGGGGAAGGGGTGCAACATGAAACTTCTGGTTTCTGCCAAGCCCTACCCAGTCCTTTGTTCGACGCCAGGGAGAATTTCAACACGTTACCTAAGCGGGTCGGAGAACACCAAGGGGCCATAATGACAACAGTTTCTCATACTGCTGAATGTTTAAAGAGCACTGGGACTTTTCTAAGAGTGTATCAGTTAGCATGTAGGCCAGGAAGTTCTGCTATGTTAGCCATGTTAGCTTTGGTTGACTTAAAAAACCCCATCGATGTGATCTTGCTCCCCGCAGAAGCCCGTCTATTTACAGATACAAACAGAAGATACGGTGCTGATTGAGCTTAAACTCACCGTGCACCTCATGAGGTGACACAGAAAAGGTGCATCATATCTGAGAAATGTTAGCCTATCGACTTTATCTTAGCTTTTTTTTTTTGTCGGTAATCAACGTCAGCGGAGGAAAAATTGAGAATAAACCATTACTATATTTTGCAGGTTATACATAAAAAAATAATAATAAGACACGCAACCAGAGGCAAAACAAGAGTTAAGATTCAGCATGCTAACGCAGACCGTGCTGAGCTGACAGTTACCCGAAGCTGAGTACCAACTCCCGGCGTGACTTGCTTCTCTGCACACCACTCGATTTGACATCTTGGTTCCCAAGCCGCCTATCTTGGTTCGCTAGATTCTCGTCAAACCGGGGAAAATGAAACAGAATTGTAAACTCCGGCGTTTGCTCAATGACAGATAAAACAGCGCTGCTGCTAGCTGACTTAAAAAGACAAAGAGCACTCGGCAGTTGGACAGTAGAGACAGCTGGGCTAGCTAGCTTATGGCCTCTGTGTGGTTACCGGTTAGTAAGTTCAGTCAGCCCGTTCTGACAACCCGGAAATGTAACCGTGGAATCTAAAAAGGCACAAATTACAAAATATCGTGCCAGTTTGAAACAATAAGGACAACAATATGAACGGCTTGAGCTGTCACAGTCGCTATCTGAGGATTACTGATTTGCTCGGAAAAGCCAGGTAAGGGGCGTGGCTAAAACTGTTATCAAAGTGACGCAGGGTATTTTGATTGGTTAGATAAAGGAGTAAAAAGGGTGGAGTCTTTACTTGGACGAGAGGCTTCGCACCATTTGTTAGCCGGAGAGGAGAGTGACTGCCATAAGGGTGGAGTTTCTTCCACTTTTCCAAAATAGGATCAGGGCGCTGCATCCTGCGCCTTCAAAACCATATTTTAAAGCACTTAAACAATTTGTCATAAATGTTTTCTTCTTGCATTAAGCGGTTAGGAGAACAACTGACTCGGTTGGTGTGGGAAGGAGGAACTTTAATATGGACGCTTCAGATAAAATGGCATTCTAATCTAATTTGTACGGTACTTCTCTTCTTGTCACAAAGAACTACATCTTCCGCAACGCCAGGTGGCGATAGCGATCTACGAGTTGACATCGCGGTCTGTTTTCACCATAACACATGGGAGAAGAATAGTTGAAGGAACAAAAACGGAAGCCATCGAGCGATGGTGTATAAATATTCAGTAACATTTGACACACAAAGTTTAAGATATAAAACAGACTACTTCCTCAAACAGGCCTCGATATTTGGATTTTAAATGCCGCGCTGTTTGTTTTCTCAACGAGCTAACTGAGCTAACTAAGGACAGAAGGAGGAGAAAGTAGCGCTGGAGTAATGTATGCCAAAACAAACGCTCCGAAGCACAAAGACAGCGGAGAACTTATTAAAAACTACCACAAGCAGGCGTTTGAGCATATATCGAAGGCACTGAGGATCGACGAAGATGACGACGGTGGGTTGGTTTGTTTATTTACCATATCAGCTGCTTGTCAGCTCTGTAAATAACCTTCCTCACCTCGGCGTGTAAACAGGAGAGAAGGAGGAAGCCGTGCAGTGGTACAAGAAAGGAATAGCTGAGCTGGAGAGGGGCATTGCTGTGGAGATCACAGGGACAGGTAAGGAGAGTCCCTGATCTCCCAGAGGGCTGTAGTTGGCACACATAAACTTCACTGTACACTTTCGGTTTCATCAGCAGGAGAGCAATATGATCGATCGAAGAGACTGCGAGATAAAATGAAGGCCAATCTCACCATGGCAAAAGACCGTCTTGCGTTGTTAGGTGGGTGGGATTTCACTAAATGTGTGTCACTACCACCAGCCTCCTTGTACTTTTTTAAGGTTTTTTTTTTATGAGATGGATCAACACGTAGTGGAGCATTTTTTAATTGAAAAATTTTTCAGAAAACCCATTTTAAAACCGGAACTAAAAAATGTAGCATTCATTTGTTATATTGGCACTTTTGTTTTGTTGTAATTGCAGATATGCATCCTAAACCTCCACCCTACTCTCAAGTTTTTTTCAACCACTCCCCAGGATTGGCCCATATTTAGCTAAATTCATCATCCCCACATCCTGATGCTGATGCTGCAATGTTTCACAGGGGAAATAGTATGCTCAGGGTTCATTTTCTGCTACACATCTGTGTTCTCTTAAACTGCTTGTGGCAACCAGTAAACCAAATGTTTTGTTTTTTTTTTTTTTAGCTTTCTTTCAACAATAAAATTCTTCTTGCCACTCTTGCACAAAGATCATCATACTGACCATGATGCAGTTTGCATCTGTCAATATAAGATGACTTTTGAAGTCAAGTGTTTGCACTGGATTTTTTTTCCGAGGTATTACAGACAAGGCAATTGAATAAAAATGCATGCCACGCTTCTCCTTGTTTTTATTAGTAAATCATTTTTGCAAGCGAATTGTTTCACAATTACCTACTAGTTTGTGTTGGTCTAAAATCCTTACAGTTGTGTTGTGACTAAATGTGGAAGAAGTTTAAGGGGATGAACTGAGAATAAGGTGCTGTGTATTTACTCTGCTCTGTTGTTCCTTTACAGAGGCCACATTGGCATCTAAGAGTAAAAGTCCTCGTGTCTCAAACTCAAATCTTGCTAATTCACATCCAAAGTCCAAAAGCCAGCCTTCAGTGTCCTCCACCATCAGGCCTTCAACTTCTGTCAAACCCCCAGCAAGACCCATTGAACCAAAGGTGATATTTTTGTCTGGTATTTGGATTCATACAAAGATTATTGTGAGAATCAAAACGTACATATTTATTCATCTGAAGAGTGTCAGAACTAACAAGTCAAGCAGTTTCGAAAGTGCCCTTTAGGATGTTACATCTTTCTTTTTATAAATATAATTAATGAAAAAAGAAGAAGAAACAGAATGTTAGATGCTTTAACCTTTTTGCTGCTTTTATACATCTCAAAAATGAAAATGTTACAAAACTCCTTTAATGCCAAAATAAAAACTGATTTCTACAAAATGGAGAATAAAACAAAAATATGCAACTTAAAATAAGTGATTGCATAAATATTCACCAGTAAATAGCTGGCGCTACTAGTCTCACAATGAGAGGAATGGAGATCACCTGACTACACTAAGTGCATCTCAAGCTCCAGAAAATACATTGTTTCCACTTTAGTCAACAGAGACCAGAAAGATATGACAGCTAAAGGATCTGAAGAAAATATAGCAAAGTTTTCTGGGAGGCTAAATATAACTAAATAAGGTAATTTGTCTACATTTATAACAATTATATTAGACAAGCTGTTCCAGTAAAAATGCTAAAAGTCAAGTCACTAAAAAATTAGATGGAGGGTATAAAATTAAGTTTCTCATTGGAGTCAACTATATTGTGCTAGATTTAAGCTTTAAAGAGATGAATCATGCAGAAGGCTTTGATCAGCAGACAGGTGAGCAAAGCACAAATTAGGGTACTGTAAAAGTAAGTAGCATTTTTGACCAGTCGTAGTCTGGATTGAATCGCAGCTGACGTACTCTTGATGTTTTTGTTTGGATAACAGTGAAGATCTGAATGAGAGGAGTGGACTACAATGAATAATTTTTGTGGGAGGTCTTGATTAAGGTATTTCTCCCACAGATGAGGTTAACAGGGTTGCCAGATCTGACAGTTTCCATCCCAAACAAAACAGAAAACCCAACAAACTTATGAAAATCTTATACAGACATTATAGATGAATTGCTATGTTCCATGAGCCGATCTCTGAAAGTTCATCCAAATCTACATTTATAAAATTTAAAAATTTAACGCAGTGTTTATTGTAAATTTTTCTCCGTCCAGGTGACCCCTCGTATGGGAAGAGCTCAAAATGGAAGACCTCCTGTTGTCAAACAGCCTCCAAAGAGGGATATGAAAAACTTTAAGAATGTGGACTCTAAACTGGCCAACTTGATCCTGAATGAGATTGTCGACAGGTACTTTAAGGCATCTCCTTCATATGAATTTGTTAAATAAAACTGGTGGCACATTTAAAGCTGTCCTTCCTGTTCTCTGCAGGGCGGCTTCTGTCTCCTTTGAAGACATCGCTGGACAAGATCTGGCTAAACAAGCTCTCCAAGAAATCGTCATCCTTCCTTCTTTAAGACCAGAGGTTATTACTTCAAAATGTTTAATCTCGACTTACTGTTTTTATGCTTTTTTTAGTTTAACTTATAACCTGGTCTCATATTTGCTGTTTAGCTGTTTACCGGACTAAGGGCACCTGCACGTGGTTTGCTTTTATTCGGCCCGCCTGGAAATGGGAAAACCTTGCTGGTACAGTCAAAAAACATTAAAAACATGAAAATGTATTGTTTTGAAAACAGTCATGGTCATATTATGATTTAGCCTTTTATTATCAGTGAATTATAGCTTTTGTTTCCACTTTCTAGGCCAAAGCTGTTGCTGCAGAGTCTAATGCCACCTTCTTCAACATAAGTGCTGCCAGTTTGACGTCTAAATATGTAAGAAACATGCATTCCTTTCTGCAGTAAGTAATCGATGCTACAATTCTTTCAAACCTTCCCCTTTGTCTTTTTTGCAGGTGGGTGAAGGTGAAAAGCTCGTCAGAGCGCTGTTTGCAGTTGCAAGAGAATTGCAGCCTTCTGTCATCTTTATTGGTTGGTATTACTCTGCTCCAGGCTTTTACTTTCCTCTCAGAAGCCAGACAGAAACAATATCTCTGTTTTCTGTTTTCCTGTCAGACGAAGTGGACAGCTTGCTGTGTGAGAGGAGGGAGGGGGAACACGACGCCTCGCGTCGTTTAAAAACTGAGTTCCTCATCGAGTTTGACGGGGTGAGGGTGTGAGCATCCTCAGACATTTGATCTGGGATTCTGCTCTGAGCGTCTGTCTCAATCACACATGAGAACTTGGGTGTCATTTTCACAAAAACACCTCTGGATCTCAGGTGCAGTCATGCGGGGAGGAGAGGGTTCTGGTGATGGGAGCAACTAACAGGCCTCAGGAGCTCGATGAAGCCGTCTTAAGGTGCGAATCAATCTGTTGATGTTGCACAATGATATTGTAATGATGCATTTTGTGGCTAATTTTAGATCACTGATATTGTAAATATTGTAAAGCTCTGATTTTGATTTCTCTTCAAGAACTATAAATAACGACAGTCATGTTTTTTCTACCGTCTGCAAGAATTAAGAGTTTAATTCTCTTACTGAAAAATGTTTATTGCAAAATAAAAACAGTCAAAAGTAATAGCGCCATCTCTCTATCTGCATCAGTGGAAATCTATAAATATCTCCAGGTTCTGGCACAGAGGTATCTGTAAAATAAGATCCTAACAAAAAAAAGAATTACAGCATATTGTATTTGTTTCTTTACAAGATAGAAAATAGCTCACTAACCTTTAAAAAAGCTCACCTATCACCAGCTGTCGTTCAATAGACAACTGACGCTCATGCAACACACTACATTAGAGAGCAAAGGGCGTTACACAGCTAGAGATTTCATTATTATTTAAAACAAAGACAAAATGATTAACTGTAATTCATTAACATGATTAGCAATGGTAGTAGCAGACTTTGTGTCAGATGAGTTCGACCTTTACTGTCAACATTACCTAATTCAGTAAGAAACTCTCATCCCCTCTTGTGGCAGAATGGGTGAACAGCAGTTGTCTTTTCCTTTTTCAGAGAAGTCCTAAATATTTTATGCTTCCTCTGACTGCGTCTTTTTTCTCT